TTGGTAAAATAAGCGTAATCTAGAGGCCTTTGCCTCATATAAGCGACTTCTGATACCAAATGATCTACTAGAAGTCCACTTATTATTTGTTTTTCCTAAAACTTGAATAGGCAGCAAGACTTTTGTCAGGTAGCGTATTTAGATTTTGATTGAATGGCATAATCATTGATTGAATTAGAATCACTCCAGTTATCCAATGTCAAAAACAGATTCTGCGCTGTGAAGTGCTGCAGGAACAGTACAGTGTGTAACTGCTGTCATGGAGTAAAATGACAGAATGTTCCAGCACAAACTGAGGGAAGGAAAGTGGTTAGGATGATTAGCTCACTGAAGTCTGTTGCACGTTTGGCATTTTTCTAAGTGAAGCCGTGTGTGATGGGAAAAAACGACACGCTGTGATGTCACTGAATGTGTTTAGAGGGGAACATGCGGATACAGGGTCGCGTCCCACAGGAAAGTCCTCCGTGACAGCAAAGACAACAAGCGGGATGAGGCTTTTATTCCCAAAGGAAACCACATCCAGCTGTGGCCTCTTCCTCGCACATCCAGCTTCCCTCTAATTGTTTTCCTCTCTTTATTTTTTTTTTCCAGGTCAGAAGACGGACTACTGCCTTGCCAGGTGAGTGCAGTGTTGGGAAAGTCAACAAATCCAAACAAGATGTATACGGTTTACGCACAAGAACTAATTTAGCACACATGCAGATGTTTGGGAGCCATTTATAGATGAATATCTTGTCTAGACATATTCATCTTTTATGCACATCTGCTGATTTATTTATTGAGGCCAGGAAAAGGTGATTTACTTTCCATTTACAATGAGGTCCGGAAATTGGGACGGACTTTTAAACAAGAGTTCACAGAAGAGACACAAAACAAGTACTTTCACAACAAATACTAGTGAAAGCCTGAATGTGTGTGTGTGTGTGTGTGTGTGTGTGTGTGTGTGTGTGTGTGTGTGTGTGTGTGTGTGTGTGTGTGTGTGTGTGTGTGTGTGTGTGTGTGTGTGTGTGTGTGTGTGTTTAAGGCCAGTGGATTAAAATAGGAACCTTTTCAGGAGGCTAATTTCCACTGGGCTAATGGCCACAGGCAGTTTGTGAAGTGAATGTGGAGGAAAATGAGAGCAGTTTTGAGGGAAAATGATCCATTATAATGACGGCACTTTCTCTCCCCCCTTTTCGCTCTCCCTCTCTCTTTTTCTGATTCTCATGTCCATCAGCGGACGGAGGGACTCCACTGTGCGGAAACAGGTAATTATCACTGCTCGCTAGCAGAATTGATTTACTGTTGCATTGCAAGACTTTTTCAGTTTAAATTAATATTTTTTTTCTCTTTTTTTTTGGATTAATTATTGATTTGTGTCATGTATATATATATATATATATATATATGGTACAAAAAAAACCTTTGATAACTTTAAAGATGTTTTTAAAAATCTGACTAAACTTTTGTAACAGTTAAGCTTTTTATAGGATTATGGATTATTTTTTAACTAATTGTATTTGATTTTATTTATATTTTCAATTTAGTTAAAATTTTATTTGTCAGATTTTTACTTTAATAAGTTTTTTATTATTTGCTTTATGTATTTTTATTAGATTTTTATATGATATGATAGATTTTGATATGTACAGAGAACATGCTGGTATCCCTTTTTTCAACTCAGATAATTATTATTAGTCAACAAATCTTATTAATCCTTTCATAAATTATATTTGCAGATAATATTTTTCATTAAGACAAAAATTCCTGTTCAGTGCATGTCTTATTTAATAAATGCAGCTGTAAAATAACTGTGCATGTCGCAGCAGGATAAATTTAGGATTTAAAATCAGGCCAGTGAGATAAATTTAGCATGCATTTATCCCACCACCTGAACCCTACAGTACAGGTGAACAAACAAAAGAAATCACTGCAACCCTTCATTTGTCCTTTTAATGTTCATGACGCCCTCTAGTGAGCAATATTCATATACAATGCTTTCCACAAATGATGACAAGCTTGATAAATATGAGCCAAAAAGCCAGTGGAAAACAAAAAACACTTGATTTTCTGCAATAATTTTTTTTTTTAAACAAAAACTGAAGAATTTGATTTTGGACAAGAGTAGATGAGTAGATTCTTAAAAAAAAAAAAAAATAAATAAATAAAAAAAAAATAAAATAAATATATATATATATATATATATATATATATATATATATATATATATATATATATATATATATATATATATATATATATATATATATATATATATATATATATATATGTGAAACAAATTATGCCAAACCTATTATTTTTGACTAAACTATACTTATTCTCGCTTGCTTGTTCTTAATGAAAGTAGATATTTTTATTGATATTTTAAGCTAAAAGATCAAAGTTTAAATGTTAAATGTGTAACTTTTTTTTTCAGTTGTCCAATATTTTTAGAGGGCACAGCATGAACAATATTCAAAAGTCAAATGGATGGAGAAGCATGAGATTTACTGAAAGTAAAAATGTTTTGTACTTATGTGAGCATGTTTAAGAGCGTGACCTCCGGGCAGTGAAGTTCAGGCCAGACGTGGCTCGCATACAGCTCCACTTTTCCCAAATAAACAAAAAGAAACTCTGGTAAAACGTTGTCTCCTAGCAACCGTTGCCCCATTCCCTCATGGCACAGCACAAACTGGGGTGCTTATTTTTTCATCCCACCCGATGCAAATATAATTGTTATGATCCCCTTGTTCTGAAAGGTGCCCTGTGCTGCAGAATGTCCACCATCTGAACAGACATGTGTATTTTCTTCTTATTTTTTTTCACTGTTCCTTCTTTTAGGAGGCCATCCAAATCATTCCCCTGATGGTGGAGAGTTGTATTCGCTTCATCAGTCGACACGGTGAGCTCTCCTTCTCTCACTCACTTCTTGCCAAAAGCACTATTGCTGTGTCGCTCTCTAGACTTTCCCTGATGAAATGAACAAAGTGTTCTGTTCCGCTTCATTTATTTTTCTATCATACAGTATATAGCTCTTACAATCCTTCAGCACTAGCCAATATGTTTTCTTTTTCCTTTTGAATTCTGAGAATTCCACCTAAAAACAAATAATGGTTGCTGACACAAAGTCATTTTTAGGCTCGGTAAAGGTAATGGAAAATGTACTAATGTCAAATGTTTTTCCTGATTGTGCTTTAATTCAAATACTTTATTAATTTATTACTTGAGAAAAACTAAATGACTAATTTTATTTAATGCTTATTTTTAAAATATGCTTTTTCAGAATGTTCTTATTGAGTAATTGTAAATAAAGGGGGCCAGCATGGTGGTTCAGTGGTAGCACTGTCGTCTCACAGCAAGAAGGTCGCTGGTTCAATCCCAGCTGGACCAGTTGGCATTTCTTTGTGGAGTTCGCATGTTCTCCTCTTTTTTGTGTGGGTTTGCTTCGGGTCCCTCACAGACCAAAGACATGTGGTATGAGTGAATTGAATGAGCTAAATTGCTGTATGCATGTGAATGCGAGGGTGTATTTTTCCCAGTACTGGGTTGCAGCTGGAAAGACATCCGCTGTGTTAAACATATGCTGGATAAGTTGGTGGTTCATTTCTCTGTGGTGACCCCTGATGAATAAAGGCAGTAAGTTGAAGGAAAATTAATAAATGACAGGACAAATCATAAAGTCATTAATATTTGTCAAATATTTATATATGTATTAGTCCATTCTCTCACATTTTGAGGATTCTAGGGAACTATTTTTTTATATTGTTAATATATGAATTAATTTATGATTTATTATTATTATAAAAATGTTTGTAAAAAAATGTTAAGAATTAGTGAAGATTAAAGATTGATGGATGTTTTTTTTTTAAATGTTCTCAGAATATACAGCTCTTGAAAAAAAGAAGAAGACGCTGCTTTTCAGGATTCCTGATTTATAGTTTTGTATCAGAGTAAACCAGAATGATTTTTTTTTAATTCTGTAAACTATGGATGACATTTCTTAGCATTTTAAATTAAAATGTTGTTATTAACAGCATTAATTATTTTATTTTTATTTTTGGGGGGCATAAAATAGTGAAAAGAGGACAACATAATACTAATTTTTATTAACCCTTTAGAGCAGTCATTGAATCAGTTGGAAAAAAATCATTGGAGTGGTACTGGGGGTTATTACAAGACTTTATGATGCAAAAAATACAATCAATGTCAATACAGTTACCATAAACAGTTCTTCACCTGATTAGGGGTTTAAAACATTTGTAATTGAGACTATTTTCTGACTAAACAATTTAAAATGTCAATATTTTATTTGAAATTTGTACTTTTATACAATCAAACAAAAATAGTTGTTTTGATTGTACAGAAATCCATATAAATCTATTTAACCCAAAGAAACTAATATTGGGGTTAAACTATATTTATTAAGCTGGTATTGACATCACAATCTGCTATAATAAACTCTAAACTATAAGTCTGATGTGTGTTCATAACATCACATCTGTGTGCCTGTTCAGGTCTCCATCATGAGGGGATTTTCAGGGTGTCTGGCTCCCAGGTGGAGGTCAATGACATTAAAAACGCCTTTGAAAGAGGTGAGTCTGTCTGAAGCGACACACGCTGAGCCAGCGTTTGACCATTTCACATCAGGCCTGCATTATTAAAGGCTTGCTGTGTCTCAGGTGAGGATCCGCTGGCTGGAGATCAGAATGATCACGATATGGACTCCATCGCTGGAGTGCTGAAGCTCTACTTCAGAGGCCTGGAAAACGCCCTGTTTCCTAAGGAAGTCTTCCATGACCTCATGTCCTGTGTCTGTGAGTGTTCGCTTTATTTCCTACACCCACAGTACACGTGTGTATTGCAGACTAGATTAGACAATGGAGGAGCTTTTGAACTCATTACTTGTTGTTTTTTTCCAGCCATTGAGAGCCTCCAGGAAAGAGCTGTGCACATCCGAAAAGTCCTGCTGTCGCTGCCCAGCAACATCCTGGTTATCATGAGATACCTGTTTGCTTTTCTCAATCAGTGAGTTCTGTTGGTTAGATTTTTACCAAGTTTGTTCCTTTGTCTGGGATTTTAACTAAAGTTGAGGGCTGTGAAGTCATTTGGTCCACCGGATGTCAGTCAAAGCAAGGTTCTTGTGTCAGAGGAACACAAAAGTAGATGTTTCACAGAATGTGTCAGGTGCCCTTTTCCATAAAATGAAAATTAATTGGGCTGAATTAAGCTTAATAATATTAATTTAAGTACATGTGGTGCGTTTGACTTGTTCTATATTCTATATTATTGAGTAGTTTGTTTAACATATAATTCATTCATTCATTCATTCTTTCATTTTCGGAATGAACCACAAACTTATCTAGCATATGTTTTACGCAGCTGTAACCCATCACTGGGAAATACCCATACACACTCATTCACACACATACTCTACGGACAAATCACCTATACCACATGTCTTTGGACTTGTGGGGAAAACATGCAAACTCCACACAGGAATGCCAACTGACACAGCCGGGGCTCCTTGGTTGCTACTCACTGCACCACCGTGCTGCCCACATGTAATTCAATATTTGTTCAAAATGTAACCTGTAGCACCCAAATCTGATCGCAATTGCATTTGCGTTTGGTTCAGATATGACACTGAGACATGTTTGGCATTAGGGATGTGCAAAAGATCCCGAATTCTAGCTTAAAATAAAGTTTTTGAGTCCAAAATAAACCATTTGAATAGTTTATGTAGATTTGATAATTTTTTTAAATAGTTAGTCTTAAATAATAATAATTATAAATAATAATAATAATTATTATTATTATTATTATTATTGTTGTTGTTGTTGTTTTTGTTGTTGTTGTTATTATTAAATAATAATTATTATTTAAATAATTTAATATTTATTCTGCAGGGTCTTAAAAAGTCTTAAATGTCTTCAATTTCAAAAACTAAGTTTAGAGGCCTTAAAAAATCTAAAATCCACTGATAAATAGTGCTGTAGGTCTTGAAACATTTTAAAAGGTCTTTATTTTCTGATGTCCAAGTAAAGCTACCATATCGGGCTGACACCCAATCACTAATAATCGATCTTTAAACTTTTTGTTTATATATAAGTTTTTTATTGCAAAGAGATACAATTCACAACAGCTTTTAGACATTTTCTAGCAAATTGTCCTAACTAAAAAACCTAATCCGGGAAAAATACAAAAGAAACACTGTCCCTTTACATCCCTTTACATGATCTTTCATAAATACAAAAACTATTTACAGAAGTACCCAGCCTAGTAGAAAAAATCCTCGGGAAGTCCTAGCGTTAAGCACTGTATACGTCTAACTATGAATATGTCATTCATATTGGTCTTGAAAGAGTCTTAAATAGGTTTAAATTTCACTTGAAGAAACCTGCAGAAACGCTGCATAAGCTTTGTTAGAACTTGAATAAATACATACTTATATATTTTTATTTTGCAGTACAAGAATATTATAGCACTGAATGTTAGAATTTAATATAAGAATATATTTTATTTAATAATCAAATAAAATAAAACGTATAGTAATGATGTCTAGTTTTTTATCTAAATCTCCTAAAACTAACCGTGCTTTTCAACACATTTATTCCACATTTTAAACCTGATATTTTCACCTTTCCTACCCCTGAATAGTTTGTGCCCCTGAAGATATGACATTTTTAGTGAATGAAAAATAAAATAAAAAGAAAGTTAGTGGTTTGGAACCACATGAGGCCAAGCAAATGATGACAGAATCATTTGGGTGAATGTTTTCCCCCTTTAAACCCTTGCCATTTTCCAGTGATTTACGGCAGCTAACCTTACCCCAGCATACAAAGAGCTTATATACAATCTAAACTTACCATTTTACAAGACCTTTTTACTACAGATTTAAATATTCTCTTCTAAAAAAAAAAGAGAGGATTGGACAGTACCCAGCTACTCCAGCTGAGGACTGCAGCTCTCAAGCCTACTTGGAAAGTGTCCCTCCATATCTCTGCCTCCTTATTTCCACCCTGTGGTTCTTTTGAAAGACCCTCCAGACCACAACACCATCTTAGCTTCTGCTCCAGGCCGCTGTGGTACGTTCTGGTTTGTCGAAAGCATCTGAACCCTTTCCAGGCCTCGTATCACAGCCAGAAGGGGGAAGTGAGTTTGCGTAGAGGTATAGTGTCGCCATAAACCTCCATAATGCTCCCATGCGTGATGTCTGTAGGCCTCTGTGAATGGCTCCTCTGTTTGCACTACTGCCGATAGATCTTTCCTCTGCTATAAAAGTCAATGGAGGTGCCAGAATGGTTCTCTAAAGAACTGCTGCTTTTTTTTAATTCACTCTCTAATTTGTGTGCATTGTCTGTAGGGATGTATAGTGTACTCTCACAAATGCACATTAAGAGAAATAGAGAGGTGGGCAATTGGAGAGACGTGTGCAGTTGGAACTGTCTGAGAAAAGGACAGTGCTCGTAAATTTGGCTGGAGCCTCTCCATTTGGACGTTTATGTGCGGCCCATACCATGACAGACATTTGCTTTTTGCATCTGTCGCTCATGCAAGCCTGGATGGTCTCTTTGGTTTGGTCAAATTTCTATAGCACTTAATACAGTTCTATTTGTTTCAAAGTAGTTACACAAAGAAAATAGGCAATAATGGAAAATCAGGTTTAAAGTTGAATCAAGTGTGAATCAAGTTCAGTTCATACTGTAAGTCACATTCAGTTTCACAGATATTTGGTTTTGTTTGAATTAGTTCATGTTTATTCAGTTCAAATCAATTTGAATGTCATTGCTGATTATTTATTGAAGTATTCAGGACTCCTTTTATGGGTTTTGCCTGTTTGTTTACAAAACAACTGCATTTTTGGGACTGACAACAAACAAATCTGAAAAACGGTCACAAAGGGAAAGTTTGGATTGTACTGTAATTGTCATGTCAGTGTAAACACCTGAAAATGAGAGTCTATAAAAATGATGATGTCGTGTGTGCATGTATGTGTTTAGGGAGGTGTAGATTAAAGGTAAGCGCAAACAAAACTGCACAATAATGGGGGTTGGGTTGCTGTTGCTCAAGTGTTTCCTAACACTTCATCAGCAAAGAGTAGATTACTTAACTTTAAATTTATCAGGGTATCTGTGGGGTCTTTAAAATGGTAAACTGTGTTAAATTTCAAAAACAAAATTTTAGGCCTTCAAAAGTCTTAAATTCACAGAAAAATTGTGTTGTAGGCCTTAAATAATTTTTTAACAGGTATTCATTTTCTTGTGTCTATGTAAAGCTACCTAATCGTGCCAACACCCGTTCAATCACTAACATTCAATGAAAAAATGTAAGTAAAGATTATTTATTAAGTCTATTTACCAAAATGGTTTGATTATCTTTCTTACAATTAATTTCTTTTGATATGCACCATTGCCGAGCCGCCGACAGCATGTGTGCACTTTCTTATAGGTTTACTAACAAATCGACAACGCCGAATTCTGGCCTGGCATATATAATACGGCATTCTTGTGTCATTTTTCTGCAGATGTATAAATGCTGCTCGTTTTTAAAACATCATGTTAAAGTTTCTGGCTGCATCATTGTCATGTAAATGTAGCCAACCTCCAGTAAAGCTGAAACATGGACTCATCTGACCCCAGCACACATTTCCACAGTCTTTTTACTGTGTGAGATCTGCCATTACTGAACTGTACTGCTGTATACTTTAAGTATCAAAGATTCAGGTCGCATTTCTTGATGATTGTGTTAAATGGAAGCTGCGCTTCAATGTTCGGCTCTATTTACCACCATGCATATGCATTTTTTTAAGCTATGGCATCTGAGTGCTCATGCACATTTAGCTGAAGACTTCTTTTTAATTTGTCTGCATTTACTGTATGCTTGGCGTACATTCACATATGTATACACATCAGGAGACCTCATTTACAGAATGAGGTGGGCATTAGACAGAGAGGTGGGCAATTGAAGAACTTCATGCAGTTGTAATTGTCTGGGAAGGACAGTGCTCGTAAATTTGCCTTAGAGCCTCTCCAAGTGCACGTTTATGTGTTTTTTATTCCAACACACATGCAAATAAGGATACATGTGACCACTATTTGGAGTTTTCAGTGATAAACATTGTGGGCGCCTTGCAGAGTAAGAAAGGGAACAATTAAGAAGGTGTAAGAATTCAGAAGAGTCTCACAGACACACTTAAATGAGAGAAGGATGGCTTGTGGCCATGATGAATGAGCTGTTGTGAGGAAGTGTAAAAAAAAACTCAGGCTGTTTTTCACATTAGTCCAGCAGGAGCTGCTCCTTCCATGAGAATAGGCAAATTATTAGAATGACTATTTTGTTTCATGTTTTTGGTGTTTGGTGCACCTCAAATATGATCAGTTCTTAAATGTTTGTCCATTCATATGTTGATTGATTGATTGATTGATTGATTGATTGATTGATTGATTGACTGAATAATTATTAATTTTCATAATATACATTAATTATTTACCTTCATTAGGAAACATCATTAAATGCAGTTAATGTGTAACCCAGGTTTAGGTTTAGTGGACATTAACCTACACCAGAAAACTGTAAACATGCAAATGTTTTGCTAGCAGTGTTTGGGTAACTAATTACTGGGCCCACATAGAATCTGCACGTTCAGGAATCCACAAATTTTTAGCCCCTCATTAAGTACATTTAATTACTTGTGTAAATGTGTGTAAATTCATATTTATTCCGTTTTTACATAAATTTCAGTAATATTATTGACTAATATGAAAATGTCCATATGATTTATTTACAATACAGTTTGTAAAGTCATATTTTCTGTCTTTTAGTAAATAAATTATATGAAAGACTTGCTTTGTTTACCAAATAAGTTGATCTAATTGGATTTGCATTGTAAACATGAATTAAAAGTTTGAATGGTAATATTTTTATTATAAATAATAAGTTTTTGTTCATGATACTCCCAAAATCGTTCCAGATAAGTCTGTAGATTTTGTACAAAATTCTGAGCAGAAATATCTAAAAATGTCCGCAGATTCTGTCTGGCCGTGCTAATTACTAATTGTATCATTGAATTTGTATTTAAATGACGTTTATAATTACTAATTGTCTAATAATAAGTAATTTGATTACATGACTAATTACTACATAAAATCCCTATAAATCTCAATGCATATAGACAAGTCAAACAAAATGATATATATTTATCTATTCATTCATTCATTCATTCGTTTTCTTTTCAGCTTAGTCACTACATACACTACGGCCAATTTAGCTTATTCAACCTATAGCGCTTGTCTTTGGGGGACAAACTTATATTTTGCAATCTATCTGTATAACAAAATAATACAATTACTTATCTGAACCGATTTATACATAGCTATTAAATGTTTTTTAGGCAAATATAAGTAAAGTTAATTAAATTACGTACTGAAATTACTTTTTGCTTTTATACCAAAATTTACAGTAACCAGTTACATTATACAGGGTTCATACGGTCATGGAGAACCTGGAAAAGTCATTGAATTTTGACATGGCATTTTCCAGGCCTGAAAAAGTTTTAGAAAAAACAGAAAAACCCACAAAGCTTTGGAAAAGTCATGGAAATTAATTTAACAAATATCTGTAAAATTGAATATAGGTCAGTTGTCTTCACTTCTTTTCTGTTCTTAACCAAAAACATGGTCTCACATTATGAATACTGTAAGCATACATTCATTCATTTTCCTTCGGCTTAGTCTCAATTTCAGAGGTGGCACAGCGGGAAAGAATCTTACATACAATAGATATAAAAAAGGTATTCAAACTAAATAGATTGTTGTGTGTTTTATGAAAAATGTTTTTAAATGTGCATTGTTTTTATTATTATTCTCCATGTATACATAGACATTACATTAAACATTAGGTCATGAAATTTACTTGTGTGTCCTGGAAAAGTCATGGAAAAATCATGGAATTTTTGTCTTAAAAATGAGTATGAACCCCGATTATATCTTATTACACCCAAAACTGCTTACTAGTAGTAATATAATATTAACTAAAATTGAATTAGTCAAAGGTGGCTTACAAATTATGTTGCTAATCAAGTGCAAAGTTTTTAATAAAAATGTTGATTGCCATACATTCCTTTTTTTTTTTTTTTTACCTCTAAAGGCCCATGGTGTTTTTTACAAGCATTTTTTATTTATCTTTGCTATTTGGGCTTATTGAAACCTAATTATTAAGACCTAAGTATCATCTTTTGATATGATGTATTTTTAGAGGAAAATTATGCCCATATATGTGGACTCGTAGTCCCAATTTACATAAAACACTTTTTTCCTTTCTTGTTTTGTAATGCATATTTCACATAGAAAAAATGTTTTAATGTGTTTTGACTATCAGAGTAAAAACTTTTTTTCCCTATTTTGGACAGTTAAAAATAGTGTTTGGGACATTTCATATGCTGCAAAACAGTTGCAGGATGACACTGTATGTCTGTAACAAAATATAAAACATTTAAAGTATTTTAAATAGTCACTCAAGAGCTAAAATGTGCTGTCCACGCATGTGGCCACTAAACCCTAAGAGGTTAAATCTAAGAGTCTGCAGTTAATGCACATCTTGTTCGTTTCATTTCAAATCCATTGTGTTAACAAAATGTTAACAAAATATTCTTTCTTTCTTTTTTTATTAGTCTGTCTCAGTACAGTGACGACAACATGATGGACCCCTACAACCTGGCTATCTGCTTCGGCCCCACACTCATGTCTGTTCCTGAGGGCCACGATCAAGTCTCCTGCCAGGCACATGTGAACGAGCTCATCAAAACCATTATTATCCACCACGAGAGCATCTTTCCAGGGCCCCGTGAGCTGGAGGGCCCCGTCTACGACCGTGGAGGAGCCCCTGAGGAATACTGGTGAGTCTAGACTCCTTGTGAGGGAATTCAAAAACACACACACACACAAAATAAAGGAGAAAAGCATGAAAACGAGGCACATAATCTTGGCAGAATTCATTGGCAGTGAATTTTGGCCCCACGTTTTATTGAAGCAGCTGCTCAGCCCAACCACAAAACCAGAAATGAGTTGATCAGACAGGCTTGATTTAATGCACAACCGGTCAGACGTGATGAATTGAGCTTTATAAAGATAAAGAGACATTATAAAGAGCAACAGAGCCCTACTGGGAGTAGGTTGCTTTTTAAAGTTTACTTCCTACATATATTATGCTCATTCAAGCCGTCAGTTCAAGGGTTGAAGACACAGATCCGTTTCTGACTCTCAGCATGTGTCAGCACACAAAGTAGTCTCCCAAAAGAACACCAGACTCGTAAAACATCATCATGAGCAGTCCGTTTTCGATTAAAGCCAAGGTTATCCTCCAAGCTTAAGGCTAAGTGCTAATGAAATGCCCTCCTGGAGCTTTTTAATAAATGCTTTGGATGTTGAAGAGGAAGTGACTTTAGATTGCTGTCACCGTAAATAGAAAGCAACGTGTCTGGATGTGAGATGCAGGCTTAGAGACGTGGCTCATTTCTTGTGGTTTTGATTCACAGGATTGTTTGGATTGCATGGGTGGTGTAATTAAGACTTTGAGCTGCTGAGATGATGTGTTTTTAGCTTTTAGGGTTTAGTAAGAATCTCCTTTTGCTTTCCTGAGGCTTTGAGTCACGTCAAGTCAAGACACATTTACATTATACTGTATATGTGCATGTGTCTATATAAATATTACAATTATTTTATTCTTTTTTAAAGTATTTCACAAGTGTTGTTTAACAGAAAGAAGATTTTTTCAATACATTTTTAAACATAATTATTTTTAATAACTAATTTTGAATATGCATTTGTATTTTTCGTAGTTACAATAAATAATATTTTACTAGTTACTTTGCAAGATACAAGTGAAGAGTTCTGATGCAAAAATCTCTAAATGCCATCTGAAATGTCCTCCTTAAATGATCATTTTTGTCAGCCTCCTATGTTTATGTTCAGTTGTTTCACTCTAAAGGCAATGTAAATAACTTATTCGTCACTATAAAAGTAAAATGGGTTGACGCGGTGGCGCAGTAGGTAGTACTGTTGTCTCACAGCAAGAAGGTTGCTGTTCCGCTGCATCAAACATGTGCTGTATAAGTTGGCGTTTCACTCCGCTGTGGCGACCCCAGATTAATAAAGGGACTAAACCGAAAAGAAAATGAATGTATAAATGAATGAATAAAAGTAAAATGACTGAGCCTACACACAAAAGCCGGAGAAAAATGCTAATTTTAGAAAGTTTTTTAGAAATATCAGATGGCTTTTAGAGGTTTTTGCATCTAAACTCTTCAAGTATTCAGCTTAAAGTGTAATATAAGGGCTATACGAGGTTAATTAGGCAGGTCATTAGACAACAGTGGGTTGTTTTGTAGCCAATTGGAAAAAAACAAACATATACATACATATATTTTTCCTTATTCCAGCCAAACAAAAAAATAAGACTATATATATATATATATATATATATATATATATATATATATATATATATATATATATATATATATATATATATATATATATATATATATATATGTATATATTATATTATATTATATTAGGGCTGCACGATATTGGAAAATTATGACAATGTGATATTTTGTTTTACTGTGATATATTTTGTGAAATGAAAACTCACCAGATCGATTTGGAAAGTATTCATTGATTTCTTAATGAATAACTCATAAAATGTTATAAATTAAAAATAAAAGTGGTCCCTTGCTATTACGCGGTTCATTTTTTGCAGCCTAGCAGTTCCGCAGATTTCTTTCATGCGTTTTGACATGTTTTTTTTTCTACAGCACATTGTGTTCTGCGTCCTGATTTGCTATAGACCATTGTCAGTCAATCTCCTCCATGCCACATCTCCTGCACAGTACAGAATGTGTTTAGCTTGCCAAATTGACATAAATCTCTGATCGTTAACAGTGCAATACTGTATGTTTGCAAGTTATCTCCCCACAATGTCGACGGAAAAATCTGCTCCCAAAAGGCAGAGAAAGATGCTAACCATCGCACAAAAGCTATGAACTTCTGGACATGCTGAAGGAAGGTAGAAGTTGTGCAGGATTATGGCACCATTACGGAATAAATAAATGAAGATCAAATAGTTTTGATTTTTAGACTCATTCTATAATACTGGACTTATTTTTCTACAAAGGTTTGAACTTTGAGAGTGTTTAAATGAGAGAAAAGTGTAAAAGTGTTAATGCATGTCTGAGAAAAGTGTATAAAGTGTGTATTGACGGGTTTTACAGCCTTAAGACAGCTATAATAGTTGTAAAAATAAAGCTGACTACTTTGCGGATTTCCCCTATTACTATATATATATATATATATATATATATATATATATATATATATATATATATATATATATATATATATATATAAAATGTCTTACATTTCAAAAACTAAATTTTAGCCTTTAAAAAGTGTTCACTGAATTCACTGAAATATTGTCTTGTAGGTCTTAAATCATTTTGAACAAGTCTTACTTTTCATCTGTCAGTGTTTCCAATTACCAACAATACATTTTAAAAAACCTTCATCAAAACTCTATATACTATTTTTTTAAAGAAAAGTTGTTTAAAAAGTGTGTATATACAACTAGGGTTTGCTTGTTTTGACACATTATTTAAGATATAAGGCAAAAAAATAAGTAATTAGATTTAAATTTTTTTGGATGAGGCAAGCAAACCTCTTTTCCACATGACCAACCAGGTTGGTCGTGTTCAGCCCTGTATAAGTCTGAAATTTTATTATAATGTTTTTAAAAAGGTCTTTAAAAGTCTTAAATTTCACTTTGTGAAATCTGCAGAAACCCTGATATAAACTTTTCTCTCTTTTTTATTCAGAAAAAAATAATGTCATTTCAGCATTTGAAGGACTTTTAGTTGTGGCTAGCAAATGACTAGTATTACATGCTAGGAGTAAATAAATATAAACCCTTTATAATTAATATTAATTAAAATTAATATTTTATAATTAATTATAATTAAAAATAAATATAAACCCTTTAAATTGTGAAAAACACAATACTTAGTGAAAGATAACAGCATGATTATACCATGTAACGTCACCTATGTTTTTAAGTAAAGTTCACTTTTGTACAGTAAGATTGTGTATAAAAGTTGTCAAATGAGTGTAGAAGACATGTTGCTTAAAGGTCCATGAAACCCCCTTGTTTCAGCAGGGTGTTTTCACACCTCTACTTTGGAAAAAGTAAAAAAAGTGGGCGTGTCCAGCTCTGTTTAGGGGGGAGTGTCGGAGGAACTAAAGTGGGAGGGTGTGGGAGTGTCTATTTGGGCACGCGCGAGTTTCAGAGTCAAAATAAACACACAGGAAAAAGTGATGGTGTTTAACCTACATCAACATCTGTAGTCGAATTATTTGCCAAATTATTAAATGTTGGACTTTAACAGCAGTTTGGCTCTTTCATTCAGGGAATTTATTCATGCCCCTCGCGACAAACGAGATATTTGATTCGAGGATCTGCTCTAAGCGTGTATTTTTCACGCAATGTTTGATACCGCTCGGCAAATGAGAGAAAAAAAACCTCCACATTTCCCGGAAACTTAGATGCACACGGCAGGTAGTGTCAGAAAGCCGCGTGTGTTATTCCGGTCACAAAATGCGGTAAAAACCCTACACGAGGTTAAAGTTTGGTTGTGGTGCTAACATGTTTGTACTCGTGCAATAGTTAACTTTTTTCGATATGAACAAACTGAATAAACAAAGAGCACTGGTCGCTCACTTACCAAATCTGTAGAGACAGAACAATCACCAGCAACTAGAGCTGCGTCTTTATTAAGAGGAGACTACAAGCGAATCCGGATCTCAGCGTTTGCAGATGAGAACAGCTCTCAGGTAAACAATAATCCTCCTTAGACACGTAAGTTATTGTTGTCTAGCGTCGCGTACACTGTTAATCCACACGTGACGCCAGCTGAGCTCTCACAGAGAGAAAATGAAAACAAAACTTAACGGCAGCAAACAATAAAAGCAACACTTCACGCTTGTTTTGCCAACACAACGTGGCGTCTCTGTCGTGTAAACACGGTGACAATAATGAATATTAATGAAGTTGCACAATAGAGCGCGCTGATTGGTTTGAACCAAGCTTTACTCATGCATTAATGCATCTCACTGTAAGACGTAATAAGACACACTCTGGCTCAGGCGTCCAGTCTGCACGCTGGAATACACGCTATTATGTCACGACCGTGACGCAGCTTCAAAAATTTGTTTCAAACCGTAAGTACGAATTTACTTGAAATAACGCAAAAACAACCAATTTACACTTTTTAGTGAAATATAGGTGTCCTAATAGTGTTTTTAGCAGTGTGGGACACATATACGACTGTCAACAGCTCAAAAAATGTGTTTTGGTGTTTCGTGACCCTTTAAATCAGAGCCATCCAGAGTCTCTGGGCAAAACATAATGAGTGAGCTCAGCTTCTGACTTCACTGAACAGCACAAACTCATCTGCTCAAGGGTGAAGAAGCCACATGGATCATTTTACCTCAAGAGCCTTGATCAAAGCTCCACACACACTTTCAGACGGACCAACAGGAGGAATCACTGGACCCTCTTTACCATCCAACCACTCTGGCAGACCAATCTGTCATTTTAAAGACACACTGATGGACGTGCCAAACCTGCCTGACAGTGTTTCCCTACACACTTCACTCAGACATCACCCATAACTTCCTCCTGTCTGGAGCTGCTCTCTAATGAAACTATAAGCTTTTCATTAGCCCTGGCTTCATGCTTGCCAGCGGTTTATGTAATAATGGTGGTAGTGAGATACATTGCAGCTGCTGGAGTCCTGTGTAGAGGTTGAATTTCCTCCAAACGTGTTATGAGAGATCAGCTTTTATTGGTGCAGTGGTGACAGTAAAATTAGGCCGTGTTTGTACTTGAGATCACAGTGATGAGAGATCAGGTTGTTAGGTTAGGTTTACATAAAAAAAATAATGGATTAGTTCACATAAGAGGACAATTCTGTCAGCATGTACTCACCCATTGGTTGTTCCAAACCTGTTTGAGTTTCTTTCTTATGTTGAACACAGAGGATATTTAGAAAATTGCTGGAGCTGAATTGAAATCATTGGCTCGCAACATTCTTCAAAATAACTTTTTGTGTTCTAAAAAAAAAGGTTGACAACAACTTGAGGGTGAGTAAATAGTGATTACTTGTTCATCTTTGGGTGAAATATCCCTTTTTTACTACAGCATTTGAGGTTGTCTTGGCCTGTGAATGGCGTAACAAAGCTGTTATCAGCAATAAGGCCTTCTTGACCTTGGAAATGAGCCATTTTCCTGTGTGTTGGAGGAGTGTGTTCTGGTTTCATTAGATTCCCCCGCTGCAGTTGAGTGAGGGCAGGTTCACACTGCAGTCAAGAGGCCACAGGAAGGTCCAGCTTTGATCCTCATATCTGTGTTCTGCTTCCTGTTTTACTTCAAAGAAGCTTAAACACAGTTTGGCCAGAAGAGAAACAGAAGAGGCTTAAAGCTGTACTCAGAAATGTGATTTTTTTTCTCCATTGCTTTATTGGAAATAAACTTTGGACTCCTTTTCTTTTTTCAGAGGAAATGCAAGATTATTCTCATGCTTGATTATTAGGTTTTCTTTTTTTTAGAAGAATAATAAAGACATCAAACTTTGACATGACCAAGGATGCAAATAAGTATGTAATATAAATGAACAATATCACACATGTAGAAGTGCGATATGGCTGTATATCAGCACTGGTAGGAGGCATGTGTTGTGTGTCCTCAGTGTCTCACCAGTGACGATATACAGCCATATCGCACTGCTAATCATGTAATATTGTGCTTATACAACAGTTTGACTGCGTGTTTATGTATATAAGAAAGAAAATCTAGAGACTCTAAAAATCTAAAAGTCTGGAACTACTCTCTTCCGCCATTCATTCAAATCTGTAGCTGACGTCAGAACAGTGGTTGCTACTTCACCAACGTCACTTTAGAGCGAGTATTTGAATGATTTTCTAGCATTCTGTCTAAATTGATCATGAAAAGGGGATTTTGCTGACATTTTAAGATTATAAGGCTGACATTTCCCGGTATTTCTGTTGCAATTGGGAGATCACAATAATTAACCCCGAAATTCAGAATTTCTTGTTTCTTTCTATTTACTGAACTAGTCTGCAGTTACGAAAACAGGAGACTCGTTAGAAACAAACAGATGGCCAACCAAAAAGTAACTCAGGGTTATACATTAAGTGGCCAACACAAAATATATACATTCCTCATATGTGAGTCCCATTTCAAAGTCAATACACTACAATTACTATGGTATGAATACAGCACTACAACAAACAAAACAGAGAGATTGACTTAGCATTTTAATAATGATTTGACCAGCTGTAAATCCACTGAATTTTTCGCCTCTAAGCGCTTATTATACGGTCTCTGTCGCCATCTTGTGGATGGACAATGTCAACCATCTTTGCTTTGCTAAATATGACAGGTGGATGGATGCCGACATGCTGTAACTCCAAAATTATAAATATTTAAAATAGGCACTATCCTTATAAATGAACTGCATAGTTGAAATCTAAACAACTTTATTCTCACTTGAAAAAGCCTCAAAAGTACATTATGTTGTCCAACAGCTGCAATATTTGTCAAACTGTAGTGAGTTTATTGATCTGGTGTCACTCTATGTGGGCGGAGTAATACAGAAGGGTGAAGAGGCTGTACGAATGCTGATATTTCAGAGTATTGCCCGGCTATCAGCCAATTAGATTCGAGAACAAGACAGAACTGTTGTATGATATATAAAGCATATTATTATTTGCATATTATATTTTTATTATGATATTATTATATTTAATAAACAAATATCTGTATATACTTTGAATATTTGGTTCACAGCAATAATAAGAATTGTTCCTTAGGCATCAAATCAGTATATTAGAGTAATATAAAAACATTCTGAACCATCATTTGACACTTTTGAGTTGCTCAGCCATGTATTCACAGGTAAATATATAAAAAGACAGAAAGCAGCTGTTTAAAGTTGTTCTAATATTTCACAACATTACTGTTTTTACAAACTATTTACTGTTGTTTAGTATTTTTATTCAACTAAACCATGTAAAAACATGTAAAAAAAAAACAAACATTTGAAATAAAACACACACTTTTGAACAGTATGTGCAAGTGTGTATTACATGTGCATGCTGGCTTCTATACTAATGCAATATATTGAATTTGTGTTAATGGCATCTATTGTCAGACTGTAATGAAGGTTTCCATTGATGTATATTTGTTTCTGTCAATCCATCAGTGATAGTCCACACATTGAGCCCCCTCTAGTGGACGAACCTGCTCCTGACACGGTCTCTGTAATCCACAACAGTGATGACGGTGAGTCCAGACACCAGTCATGAGACAATACTAACACACACACACACTCACTGTCCTCATGCGTCCACCACGTACCCTTTCTGCATCTGATGAATGTGCTCTAACCTGCCTGGCTTCTTCCGCAATAACCCTTCCTTCCCTCTTTCCCTCTCGCTCTTTCTCTCTGTCTCTTTGTTTTCTGTGTCTCTGAGTAGTAAAGTCAGGGCCATTGACCGTTTCAGAGTCGGACCCCATCGAGGCCATCGCTCGCTTCGATTACTCTGGACGCACCAACCGCGAGCTGAGCTTCAAAAAGGGGGCGTCTCTGCTGCTGTACAGCCGCGCATCTGATGACTGGTGGGAGGGACGACACAACGGCACTGAGGGTCTCGTGCCGCACCAGTACATAGTAGTGCAGGACATGTAAGAAGTTTATGTATTTGATTTATCATTATGGTCAGTATATATAAACTTATATAAACATATAAACTCACCGGCCACTTTATTAGGTACATCTTACTAGTACCAGGTTGGACCCCATTTATCTTCAGAACTGCCTTAACCCTTTGTGGCATAGATTCAGCAATGTACTGGAAATATTCCTCAGAAATTTTGGTCCATATTGACATGATGGCATCACACAGTTGCGTCAGATTTGTCGGCTGCACATCTATGATGCGAATCAACCATTCCACCACATGTCAAAGGTACTCTATTAGATTGAGATCTGTTGACTGGAGGCCATTTTAATACAGTGAACTCATTGTCATGTTCAAGAAAGCAGTCTGAGATGATTCGTGCTTTATAACATGGCGCATTATTTTGCTGGAAGTAGCCATCAGAAGATGGGTACACTGTGGTCATAAAGGGATGGACATGGTCAGCAACAATACTCAGGTTGGCTGTGGCATTGACACGGTGCTCAGTTGGTACTAATAGAACTGCAGCAGATCATCTTGAACATGTCGACATGCTTAAATGCATTGAGTTGTTGCTATGTGATTGGCTGATTAGAAGTTTGCATTAACTTAGGTGTACCTAATAAAGTGGCTGGTTTATTTAGTTTATATGGTTTGCTTTTTTTACTGCAGGACACTCATTCACATTGGATAGAAGTATTTCCTAAATGATTAAATTTAAATGACACTGTAAGGATAACAAAATAAAATGAACTGTCACTTAAAGCCAAGAGTGTTTTGGAAAATATTGAAATTCAGGATTGCAGCAGTTTGGTATACAGCAGATACTACTGGCTGTCAATAGCTATTTTCCATGCACCTTCTTCTATGTGCATTTGGACTTTTACTTTAATAAGTGCATAATGGAAATGCTCAGATGAACTATTTGATTGAAAATGCACATAAAAATTTATTGAATAAAGCCAGGAAGCAGATTTAAAAAAAAGTAATGTGATTTTCTTTTGGCAGATCATGATATAGTAAAAATGACAGAAATTTACAGTTACATTCTGGTGGACAAACGTTTTCAAAAAAACGAAGACCATTTGTCCCAATCTTGAGTGTCTGCGTTCCCAAAGAGCAATCTCATGCTTTCAAAAGCCAGATATGACTGTGTTTATTACTTCTTTGTCTTCTGAGGTGCAAGTCATTTATTAAATAAGGAACAAGGCCTACAGTTGCTTTTCCTGTACACAGCAAATACCATTTTCCTTTCTGATATTTTGCAGCAGTTTTTTTTAAATGTTAAATGACAATTTTGTTTTCTTTACCCCATTGGAGGCTTTATTTGCAAATGTTTTATGCAATATTAATGTTTTTCACATGTTTAAATCAAATCTTTTAATGGAAACATAGCTGTTGAGGCTCAGGGTTACCCAACAAAGTGTTGATATAGTAGTTGTGTAAATATTGTCACAGTAACACTTGTTTTTGTTTTTGTTGTGTGAATTGTTTTTGGATGAGTGTGCTTTTTTTTCTTGAAGGTTTCTATGATGGTGAATTATTTTTGGTTTGACTGTATGCTAAAAATGGGCTTTTCAGTAATGCATTAGAAACTTAGTATTAGAAAGTTACAAGTAGTAACTTACCGTGCTCTCCTATAATTTTGGGATCCTTGGTGAATATGAGCAAAGAATTCTGTGAAAAAAAATGTATTAATTTATTTATTTTATTTGTAAATTTTGATACAGGCTGTTCATTCCGCTGTGACGACACCAGTTTAATAAATGGACTAAGCTGAAAAGAAAATTAATGAATGAATTAATTTTGATCTAGCTAATAAGTGTATATAAAATGTTCTCAATGAGGACAAACATTTGCAAACAGCACAGTTTTATCACTTAAATACATATATTTCTTAATTATATGTTATAATTATTGGCACCTCTATTGTAACTCTCTTCACAACAACACAGTCACAGGTTGTTTCTCCAGAACAGGGGTTTATTTAAGGTCGTCCATAATGTGCTTTGCGGCTGTCGCCATGACGCCTTGACGCCATGACGCCGTGAGAACTATATTAGTAAATGAACACAGTACAAACGAATAAGAAATTACACAAACCACGATTATCTAATACATTACATAAGCAAACAAATACCTCGTTGGTCGTTTTTCATGAAAAGAGGGTCCTTTGATTAATAAAGTCTTCTTCGCTGTCCTTTTGACTTATGACAGCAGCAACCTTAAGCTTCTTAAACACATCTTACTTTACACAGCACTGACATGCGTCTGATCATCGTCAGTCTATCCGGGCATCCATAAACAAGCCACTCACATTACACGTCATTTCCTCAAAGTGACATGTTTCCATAATAAATGTCTTAAACTACAACATATGAAATAATAACACATTTCAAACGTTCAACATATTTACATTTTTAAATACACTTCAGCTAAATGAATACAAAATAGTAGGACCTTAAATCACTGAAGAATATAATATGAAACAAATATGCGATTATGCAAAAATGCTTGATAACAGCACTTACACCTATAGATTCAAATTAGCTAACTATTTCCCATAATTCCTATTGACATGTTACATATGAAAATGAACATTGAAAATGCTGCAATGGTTAAGATATTCTGACTAACTGGAGAAGGAAATTTGTCATGTATCTTGTTCCAGTGCAGTGACATGATCCTGAAAATCTGGATAATTGCAGAACAGCTCTCGTGTCAGAGAAAGTCTCCAAAACTACAATCTGACACCACAAACTGATTGAAAGGTTTAATGAAAAAAGACTTTACTCTTGTTTAAAACCAAACTCAAGCATCTTTAGTTTATTTGGTTAGTATTTTGAACAGAATGTCAAGAGTTTAAACTTTCACAGCCTTTATGCTCTAATTTTATCAAGAGTTGTCAATATTAGTCTATGGCACTGTGTTTAAAGTGTATCTATTATGAGTCTGCCTGTTGTATTTGTGGATTGTATAGATCTATGTTTTTTTTTTAGGCCGGATGGATATGCAGGCAGAGGAAGTCCTAAAGCTGACCTCGAAGGATCCCATGATTCAGTGGAAGAGAAGGTTTCCACGAGAGCCAGTGCCAGCTCACCCACTGGAGGTCATGTGGCTGATATCTATCTAGCCAACCTCAACAAGTACGTTCTCACATTTTTACACATACAAATATACACAATTAATTGAAGCTATGACTTTTTAATTATAAAGACAGATATAGATGGATCAAGTGAATCTTTATATTTTTATACTTGTGAATTATTACTACACATTAATAATTTACTGTTATTTATTAATAATTTTTTAAATATAATAAAAACAACAAAATTTATAACATTTTTATTTGAATTCATGTATATAAAGTCTATTTAACAAAATATTTGATATATTCAGTTATGTCCATAAATAATTGCACATCAACACAATTCTATCATTTTTGGCTCTATACACCAACACAATGGATTTGAAATTAAACTAGATGTGCTTTAACTGCAGATTGTTGGCTTTAATTTGAGCGTATTTACATCCAAATCAGGTGAACGCTGTAGCAATTACAACAGTTTGCATATGTGCCTCCCACTTTTTAAGGATCCAAAAGTAATTGGACAGAATAATAATCATAAATCAACATTCACTTTTTAATACTTGGAAAAATCCTTTGCAAATCCTTTGCAGTCAATTGCAGCCTGAAGTCTTGAATGCAAAGACATCACCAGACACTGTGTTTCATTCCTGGTGGTGCTCTGCCAGGCCTCTACAGCAACTGTCTTCAGCTCCTGCTTGTTCTTGGGGCATTTTCCCTTCAGTTTTGCCTAAAGCAAGTGAAATGCATGCTCAATCATATTCAGGTCAGGTGATTGACTTGGCCATTGCATAACATTCCACTTGTTTCCCTTCAAAAACTATTTGGTTGCTTTTGCAGTATGTTTTGGGTCTTTCTCCATCTGCACTGTGAAGCACTGGCCAATGAGTTCTTAAGCATTTGGCTTAATATGAGCAGAAAATCTTGCCTGAAACACTTCAGAATTCATCCTGCTGTTTTTGTCAGCAGTCACATCATCAATAAATACAAGAGAACCAGTTCCACTGACAGCCATGCATGCCCAAACTATGTCACTACCACCACCATGCTTCACTGCTTAGGATCATGAGCAGTTCCTTTCCTTCTACATACTGTTCTCTTCCCCTCACTCTGATACAAGTTGATCTTGATCTCATCTGTCCATAGGATGTTGTTCCAGCACTGTAAAGGCTTTTTTATAACTCTAATCTGGCCGTCCTGTTTTTGAGGCCCCCCAATGGTTTACATCTTGTGGCGGACCCTCTGTATTCACTCTGGTGTTGTCTTCTCTTGATTGTTGACTTTGACACACATACACCTACCTCCTGGAGAGTGTTCTTGATCTTCCCAGCTGTTGTGAAGGGTGTTTTCCTTACCAGGGAAACAATTCTTTGGTCATCCACCACAATTCTTTCTGAGGTCTTCCGGGTCGTTTGGTGTTGATGAACTCACTGGTGTGTTCTTTCTCTTTAAGAATGTTCCAAATAGTTGTTTTGGCCATGCCTGATGTTTTTGCTATCTCTCTGATGGATTTGTTTTGTTTTTTCAGCCTAATGACGGCTTGCTTGACTGATAGTAACAGCTCTTTGGATCTCATCTTGAGAGTTGACAGTAACAAATTCCTAATGCAAATAGCACACTTGAAATGAACTCTGGACATTTTTTTCTGCTAATTGTAATTGGGATAATGAGGAAATAACACAACTGTCCATGGAACGGCTTTGAAGCCAATTGTCCATTTACTTTTGGACCCTTAACAAGTGGGAGGAACATATGCAAACTGTTGTAATTCCTACAGCGTTCACCTGATTTGGATGTAAGTACCTTCAAATTAAAGCTGATAGTCTGCAGTTAAAGTACATGTTGTTTGTTTTATTTTAAATCTATTGTGTTGGTGTATAGAGCCAAAAATGTTAGAATTGTGTCGATGTCCAATTGTTTATGAACCGAACCGTTCAAAGACAAATAAAAGAGTGTATGTGAGAGTTTGTACTTACACATATTTATCTCAGGTTGAGGAAGCGTCCAGAAGCGACGAGCATCCGGAGAACCATCCGGCCTGTGGAGGAGGGCTCATCAGGAGCAGCAGGGGGCTTAAAGACCTCCTCTATGCCTGCTGGAGGACTGGCCAAGGACAGCTCAGACAAGCGTCCTGTCAGCGCTCACAGCGTCCTGAACTCCATCACCAGACACTCGTCTCTCAAGACTAAAGTAGAGGGTCCTCAAGTTCGCAAATCCACACCTACTGGACGATCCAAGAGCTTCAGCAACCACAGACCCCTCGACCCAGAGGTGATCGCGCAGGTGGAGCACAGCTCACAGGTACGGGACACTTCAGAAATATTATTAGAAACAAGCAGCATTCAAACCCTGTCAGCTTTCATCTAAACTTTCTGGCTCAAGCAGACATCACTGTTGTCCAATCACACCCCATTAGGCAAATGATGACATCAAACTTACATCTCAGTTGATAAAGTATGTAAATCAAACTGATGTCAGAATCTTGACATGGTTTTGTTTTGATGTAAATTGAATGGCAAACATATTGGCATTCATGTCATTAAACCAATTTAAGTGTTATTAACCCCCCCCCTACCCCCACCCCCTAAATAATCACCGATATCACTGTCCAAACTGAATTTATAATTATGTTACAGCATCGTGATCAAGTCTTAAGTAACAACTTATCAGAATGATATCAAGACCTGCCAGAAAACAATTTGTGTGGTAGTTAATATATGCAAATATATGGAAATATACACATTTTTATACTTGTAATGAGTATTTTAGGGTCGATCCATGCTATGGAAGCGTACTTCTATTATTTAAAATATATAACAATTGTTGTTTCTTCATTTGAACTGAAATATTAAGTCATGCTTAACAACTTAACAAAAGTTTTCTTAATTGACAATATTTAATGAATACAAAAATGTTTTGGAGATTTTTTGTAAACTGAAATTGCTATTAGGATGTTAACCTGCATAACTAATATTGCTTCTGAAGACAATCACCTATTAAATCGTAAATCTCTTGAACCATTTAAACATAAAAACAATGTGAAAGAATTGACCGTGTGTCTCCCTCTGGCTGACAACCTTGGTACAACAGGTTGTAGTTTGGTGGCCATTTTGGGTGGACCTTTTTTGATATCCTCTTTTGACTGATATACGCCATTTTCCATGTTCAGCTATGACAGTTCATTAGTTTAAATTTATCAGAAGAAAATTTCATAAGTCAAACCTTCCCATGGCTCCATTAAACCATATCTTCTAAACCATTTATTAAATCCAAATTCTTGTAAAAACCTTTTGTAAATTCTCTACATCACGGGTGTCCAAACTCGGTCCTGGAGGGCCGGTGTCCTGCATAGTTTAGCTCCAACTTCCTTCAACACACCTCCCTGGAAGTTTCTAGCACACCTAGAATAAGGTTGATTAGCTGGTTCAGGTTGGGGTTGGAACTAAATTATGCAGGACACCGGCCCTCCAGGACTGAGTTTGAACACCCCTGCTCTATATCATAGGTCTTAAGCTGGATTCCTTGAGAATTGCAACTCTGCACAGTTTTGCTCCAACCCTAATCAAACTCAGCTGATCCAACTAATCAAGGTCTACTAGAGACTATAAAGCTGTGGTCACACTGGACTTATACACTTCCATTCATACGCACGTGAAAGCCTCAGACCGGAAACGCAAGGTCATGCGTCAAGTTTCGCAGGTTTCTGCGGTGCAAAGTTCAAGTTTGGTGAACTCTAACCTGCGAAATCGCATCACTTGACTGCGTGAGACCAATCAAGGATCAAAACATGACATCTCTGGACAGAAATTTAAAACATGGAGCAATCACTTGCTTTTTTAAATGTCTAATAAGCTTGTTTAACCCTGCCCCTTTTTGCAGCGCTGCACGACAGAATATCGCACGCTCAAACTCTAATGTGACTGCAGCTTCAAGCAGGTGTGAGTTGGAGGTGGTTGGAAAAAATTTTATAAAACAGTTCAAAATGGTTGAGCAAATGTAAAATTTCTCAAAATGGTATGAGCCAAAACTCCAGACTCGGTGCAGTTGTAAACATAGCTGCATGTAATGCTTGTAATGATCACCCCTAATCCTACCCCTTACAGTGACATCACTAGCTACATTAAGTGTCAGTCTCAGCTTGCAAATCCAAGTCTGCATTTAGATAATATTGGAAATTTGGAACCATCCTGCCAAATTTTGTGTTTCTTGGAACACAGCTTGTGCTTAGGCCCCTAATAAATACTGTAGACACACAGGTCAACTTGAGAGCCTGCTTTCCTCTCTGAAAAAGTGCTGAGGTCTCCAGAGGAGCTTGTGTGTTTTAGAGAGTTCTACAGTATTTGTCTTTCTTTGAGCTGTAATTTCACGGTTGGACAGAGCTGCTCCATCTATCCCGGCTGCTGGAAATTGAGTGTGAGTTTCTGTGGTTTAGTCATTGTAGACATGTGGACATCTTATAGATTTGTTGTTGAAAGCCTACAAGGTCTGACCTTAGCGAAAACATTTAGCAATAGATGGTGTCTTTTTAAAAAGAAGTGAAGTGAACTTTTTACTCCTTTTACTGTGGCTTTCGTAGTTTGAAAAAAACAACAACAACAAAGATACACTTATATATATATATATATACACACACACACACACACACACACACACACACACACACACACACACACACAGTTAATTACATATAATTCAAGCATTTAATATTGTATGTGTCTTAGATTATTACAAATTAAAACATTTATTAAATTATTAAATTATTAAAATTATTAATTTATTATTATATTATATTATATTATATTATATTATATTATATTATATTATATTATATTATATTATATTATATTATATTATATTATATTAATAAGTAGGTTATGGAATTTAGTTATATTCAAATATTTATATAGGTTAAAACTACAAATATATGGTGCTTTTTTTCTTTAAAATGCCAGATTATAAACTAATGAATATATACAATAATATTGCAAACAACATGCAGTATATAAACGTCCTTTAAGATAATTTAATTTTGACTATACTGTATGTATGAGAGTACAGACATATTTTCTTCTGCTGTCTTACAAATAATCTTTAGATAAAAACAATAAATAAGCAAAAAGAAAATAAGAATACTATCAAAACTTTCTTGGTTCTGATTATTTTTTACATAAATGTAAAACCAAAAAAATCTGAATAAATAAGAATATAAGTGTAATGGAATTTTTTTATGCTTTTCATTACAAAACTTTATGAGAAACAATTCAATCTAATAAACATTGTCAGTCACACTTCATTTTAATTTTAGTTTACAATTCATGCTATTAACAAACTATTAACTAAGTCTTTTAGCTCAATAAACGGCTAATTGGCTGATTATTAATAGCAAGGTAGTAGTTGGTTTTAGGTAAAGATATTTACATTGTATTTTATTTGTTTTCTTTCTGCAGGACATCGAGGCCACTATGAACACGGCTCTGAGTGAGCTGCGAGAGCTTGAGAGGCAGAGCAACGTCAAACATGCTCCAGACGTGGTTCTCGACACACTGGAGCAGCTCAAAAGTGGCGGGACATCTGAACCATCCAGCCCTCTCCATTCCCGCCTGCTCCGCGAAGCTGAATCCTCTCAGCATCCTCTGCAGCGCAGCGCCAGTTCAGCCAGCGACATGCCCTCCACTTTCCGACCCAGCAAAACCACAGGCCCCAAGAGCCCTCTGTCCTCCATGACCACCGCTTCTGGCTCCACATTCAGAGATAACAAACCTCCAGCCACCAGACCCAAGCCTGTGGTGTTCCCCAAAAGCAGTTCAGCCGGAGGAAGTCCGGCTATGGGATCTCCAACCACCACCATCCCACCAACACCACCACCTCCACCACCACCCACCGACAAATCCTGCCCCGTCTGAGGGTTTCCCAGCAAAAAAACAACAGGATAGTTTAGATTTGAGTGAGCGAGTAAGTGTTTAATACACACAGGATGATTTTTCAGCAGTTGTTAGTTTGGACTGAGACTCGGACATCAGCCGGATCTTCTTTTCTAATCCCAGTTTAGAGCTTTGGAGTTCTTTTCTGTCTGTACAGACTCGTTTTAATGGGAAAAGACTTTTTTTGAGGTCAAAGAACTATTCGAGGAGACATTTTCACCTCAGACTTTAGTGCAAATTGAAGCAGGTTGAATGGAAACACATTTTTTTTTCCTCCTGATATAAATCCGCCACTCAAATGCAATGACATTTCTGAGTCGATCCAATCCGTCAGATTCTACAAATCCAATAATCACTAGTTATACTTCATAATTCACCTTATAACCTACACTGGCACTCTTTTTAGCCAACCAAACCATAAACGTGACAAATAAACACGTTTGCATGAAGATCCACAAGATTTTTTGCATGATGAACGCGACTTCCCAAACCATTGGATTTATCATCGATATTCCGTAATTGCTCCAAAGCACTTCTGAATTCATTAACAGTCTGAGATGTCATTTTATTCTACTATTATAATATCATCGGGCACATAAAAAAAGGGTGTTGTTTTGTATAAGTCTAATAATCGTGATTATAACTGGAAACAAGTATCTAAAAATGAGGAATGTCAAGAAAGCACATTATTTCTTCATGGCCCGTGTGTAAAAAAAAAAGAAAAAATAACAAGAAAAATAATTCTCCCTAGGTCATTACTCGCCTCTGGGTCTGTATCATGGTATCTATGTATTAGTATGTGTGTTTACGTACAGTATGTATATAATGACTCTTCGTAGCAGCCTGACAGCAGTTTCTTTATTTTATTTGATCAGATTTACAATGCAAAAAAAAGGGAAAAACTAAAAGGGGACACATGCAAAAATGAAGCTCGCTTTCTTCTGTTTGTTTTTCTGAAAGAATAAGTGTGCAAAAAGCCTCCTTAAAGAGATAGTGCGCCCAAAAAGGAAGATTTGTGGTTAGTTGACTCATCCTAAAAAGATATTTGACTGTGTGATGTAGATGTAGGTCACTTTATTTCTTTAGTGAACATTAGAAACGATATTTAGCTCAAATTGTGGTCTTTAATTATACTTTGAGTGTCTAAAAAACATCATAAAGGCAACACAAACTTACTCCACATGACAAACGCTGTGATTTAAAGAAGCAAAACAATCAATCTGTGTATGAATTAGAATATTAAGTACATTATTATCATTAATCCCCACAGGCTGATTGTTTTGGATTATAAAATATCAGTCTATCATCATGTATTGAGTTGTGTTGCCTCCATTTGTTTTTATTTTTTACTTTTATTTTGGAAGCCAAAAACATAAAGGCAACACAAAATTACTCCACATGACATACGCTGTGATTTAATGAAGCAAAACAATCGACCTGTGTATGAATCTGAATATTATTTACATTACTGATACCAATGATCCTCACAGACTGATTGTTTTGGAATTTAAAACATCAGTGTATCGTCATGTATTAAGTTTGTGTTGCCTCCATTTGTTTTATTTTATTTATTATTATTATTATTTTTAAAAGTAAAAAATAACATAGAGGCAACACAAACTTACTCCACATGATGTACATTGTGATTTTCTGAAGCAAAACAATTGATCTGTGTATGAATCTGAATATTAAGTATATTGTTGATACCAATGATCCTCACAGACTGATTGTTTTGGATTTTAAAATATCAGTGTATCGTCATGTATTAGGTTTGTGTTGCCTCCATTTGTTTTTATGTATTTTTTAATATTATTTTGAACGTCAAAATTCTCTGATCTACCTTCCTGCAGATTTCAGTTGCAACCCTTATCAAACACACCTGTCTTTAATTATCTAGTGCAGTTCAGGTCCTAATTAATTGGTTCAGGTGTGTTTGATCAGGGTTGGAGCTGAACTCTGTAGGAAGCTAGATCTCCAGGAACAGGGCTAAGCATCCCTGATATACATTATTATCACTGATCCTCACAGACTGATTGTTTTGGATTATAAAACATCAGTGTGTCTTTATGTATTAAGTTTGAAAGTCACAAAATAAAAAATAAATAAACATACAGGAAACACAAATTTTTTAGCATGACTCCTGACAGTACGTTGAGATTCCATCGCAAAACAATTGATCTGAATATGAAGACTAGATATATTCTTAGTTTTGATCCACAGACTGATCGTTCCAGTTTATAAAACATCAGCGTATCATACTTACGTTTTAATTTTGTGTTGCCTGTATGTATGTTTGTTTTGTTTTTGACTCTCAAAGTACTATTAGCTTTTTAATATGTACGACCAAGGCCACATACACAACTGAAAGTCTGGTTAGTGTACAGTCTGAGGGTGAGTAAATTAAACATAATTTCCTTTCATTTTTGGTGGAACTCTTCCTTTAACGTCTGACAATCTTTATAAGATGCCTGTCCAAAGAGCTAAATGCCCCTCACAGGCTCTGCGTGATTTTATTGCCTTCGACAGAACGGATCAGACAAGTGTGTATTTTCCCAAAGCGAGGCCTTATTATGCATGAAAACAAGTTTGTGAACGTAGACAACAGCTAACTGCGACTTATGGAAAATATCTGTAGATAGACTAAGATCTTTATGACTGAGGCATTGTTTTGTTTTTCTCCAAGTAACGTTTCTTGTTTTCCTATTGTGTTCTTTTCTGAATGTGTCGTCGTGTCACAGGTGGTTACATTTGTTCACATGTAAATGATCGGAAGTATTGTGTGCGTGTGTGTGTGTGTGTTGTTCCTGATACCTCATAAAGGCAACTGGAAGCTGTCTTATTGGAGTTTTCGTGAGCAGGACTTTTACATGCAAATGACAGCAGGTCGTGTTTAATGTGTAAATGTTAATAGTATGCTGTCGGCCGAGGCCTACGTTTACACACATGATGTTTCCTTGAGTAAACTGAAATCAATCATTATACACTTGAATCTGCATTGTATGTTTGTGAACACATTGAGTGAGGGTGATTTTCTTTCTTTCTTTCTATTTTCTTTGTAATCATAACTGTATTAAAATGTAATTCCTGTCCAGTTGAAGCAAGACTGTAAAATGAATCGTCTTGTCAGAACTATTTATAGTTGTCCATTCTGATATCTGTTCCCACAGAAGCGTGTGTTCAGATGTTGTTTTGTATATACAATAGTGTACATTGCAGAGGTACATTGTTTTTTTCTTCTTCTTCTTTTTCATATTTTGTTTGTGGGGGTTCTTATTTCTTCTTTTTTTGGTACAATATTGTACAGTTACAGCAATAGTAGTTCCACTCAAATATACATTCTATAATTCCATGTGTAGTTCTTGTAGTAAACATTTTTAAATAAAAAATTGCTTGCTAAACGTGTATTTGATTGTTTCAATTAAACAAAAGCTGCGAAATGTGAAAATTATATCTTTTTTTCAATATTGCCAGCCTTTTTTCATTCTAAATAAAACATAACTGACTAAACATGTCCTTGATTGTTTCTTTTTGTTTGTTTATATATAATAAAAAGGTGTTAAAAAGTATAATTTTATTTTTTTTTGTACAACTTCTCCCAGCAACTTCACTAATAATATATATTTTTATTCATTCATTTTCTTTTCGGCTTAGTCCCTTAATTAATCAGGGGTCGGCACAGCGGAATGAACTGCCAATTTATCCAGCATATGTTTTACGCATCAGATGCCCTTCCAGCTGCAACCCAACACTGGGGAACACCCATACACACGCTTTCACACACATACACTATGGCCAGTTTAGCTTATTCAATTCACCTGTACCGCATGTCTTTGGAGGGAGAACATGCAAACTCCACATAGAAATACCAACTGGGGGCGGGGCTTAAACCACCGACCTTCTTGCTGTAAAGTGAACGTGCTACTGCGTAAACAAAAACATATTTTGTTTATTTTTTTAATAAATATTTCTCTTTGTGAGTAGTACATAACGCGGTTAAAATCGGCAAAATTTTATGCAATATACCATTTCTAAGGAATGTGTACGATTTTTTATTTACTTTTCTTTTTAGAACAACAGTATCTCCAGCAAAAAAGATATCCAAAGATGCCGTTTTAAATTGTAAAAAAAAAAAAAAAAAAAAAAAGATGTTTGGAAATAAATGAAGACAGCAGAAGTCGATGATTTATTTGAATTATTTAGCCTGACATGTATTACAAAATATTAAAAATGTTTCTCAAAATAAAATATATTGTGTTCAAAGGGAAACAAGTTTTTGTTTTTTACTCAGATATTAGAAAAAGAAATTATTTTAGAGCAATGATCACAATACTGTGATACCGTGATATTTTTTTTATCCAAGGTCATACTGTCAGAATCTTATACCGGCCCATGTCTTAGGCTATATATTAGGCATATAAATATATACATATATATATATATATACACACACACACACACACACACACACACACAAATATATATATATATATATATATATATATATATATATATATATATATATATATATATATATATATATATATATATATATATATACATACACACACACACACACAGGCTATATGTATAGAGCAAAAGGCGCTAATCCCGTCACGTCTGTGTTTATGAGGCTGTTTGCTAATTTTATTTGTTTTATTCTGATCAGATATCCGATCGCTTAAACCACTGATGCATTCCAGATGAAACTGGACAGGTATAATCATTTTTTTAGAAAAAATTAATATAAATAAATAAAATTATGACCTGGAGAAAATCTGAGCTGCGCCTGAAACACCTGGTGCACTTTTACAGGGCAATTCTATTAAAAACATGTTCACTATAAGCATAAAACATGTTCTAACTCTTCAGGCCTGTAGCCAGGGGGGTTCGGAAGGCCCACCCCTCACTGACGAAGGTCCAGAACATTTGTCCCATACATGAGCACATTTGTCCTATTTTGACTGCTATGCCATCATAAATAATGAAAATAATCTATCAATAAAGGCTTTTAGACCAGACGGACTCTTCTGTCGGCTGTTGCTTCGGTGGGACTATAATCTGATATAAGAGGTTTTCTTTCACTACTGTATTGTTTTTAAACATAGAAAACATCTTAGAGGTAGCCTAATTTTATACTAAATCTTGGAGTTTTTTTCCGAAATAAAAATGAGCAATAAAAAGGTGTGAAGCACCAGAAGCTGACCACATTAAACTAATTTGACTATATTTTGGCTGTTGTTGATATCCAGGAATTTTCAAATGTACTTTTTTACCAAAGATACTAGAAAAACTCTAAAGAATTTATTATAACTTTATTATTATTATTATTATTATTATTATGTTTTTAAAAAAAAAAATTAAATGGCCAAATTGTGACTGAGGACAGTTAAATGTGCTGGCCAGTCAGTTTTTTTTTTGTCTAATAAATGAAAGTAGGCTACAGTTTTGTTTTTTTTTTTACTTTAAAACTTTAACAGATTGCTATTTTTTCCTAATAATATAAGATGGAAAAAAATGTATATTTTAAAATTTAGTCTTGTTTAATTTTTTTAACTGCAATGTTTTAGGAAATATTTTAGTACATCAAAAAGTGTGGTTATGATGACATTTGACTAGCTAATCCAGCAAAAAATAAATAAATAAAATAAATAAAAATAAAATAAAATTCACTAAAATGCAGTATTTAAATCTCATAGTTAACTAGAAACTGAGGCGTATAACTGCAAAAAGGTCCACTTTTTGAGAAAAAAAAGAACCACCCCTTACTCAATTATGGGTTAAACATATATTTTTAATGGGTCGAAAATCTTAATCATTAGATTAAATCTGTAATCTTTATCAGTGCTTGGGAAATGTGGGGTCTTTTCCAGTCCAGCCCTCGTTTTTGTTCTACAGAAATCCAGGAAGAACTGTACGTAAATACCTTCAATATGCAAATCCTGGTCAAACTTTCCATTCTAGATGTTTTTCACCAGAGGGCGATATACTTTAAAAAAAAATTCTGTCATATTTAATAATGTGCGCTAATGGTTTATAGTTTACCCTTAAAACTAAAGATATGACCTACAAAAAGAATATTTCTCCTTGCTATGTTTTCCTTGTTAACATTTTAAAGATTAAGTAATCTTGTGAGAGCAAAAACACACACAGACGCCCAACAAGGAAGTTCCTGACAGCAATGAAAGGAAAGTTGCTGCTGAGTTTCCGTCAAGCTGCTCTCTTTACTTCAGTCTGAGGACTGCAGGTGTAAAAAGTTTGTACAATAACTCAGTTTGGATTGAAGAGGAAAATGCGTCGCCATCAAACACACAAATGGTTAGTTGATTGTTTTTTGTAGTTTTCTGTTGTCGGTCAGTCAGAATAATGACGACGACGATGATGATGATGATGATGGTGCGAAGGGGAAATTCTTAACGCTATTGTAAGTTGACACGTTTTCCCTAATAAGTACGTTAACATTACATTTAAGAAACATGTTTATTTTTTACAAAATATGATTAATCTGCTTTTAGGTCATACAGGAAGGAAGTGGACTTTATTCGACTCTTCTGCTCTGACTGTTGTGTTTAAGAGAAGTGTTAAGTTCAGGAATAAAACGGTAACGTAACGTAATTCACTTTTTAATTGGATGAGAGACATGTTTATTTTGATTGTGTTTGCCTTATTTTAGCACCTAAATATTATTTAATAACCTTAAAACTCTATTTGATGTTACAATTGGCTAATTATAAACAGAAACTAACGAGAAGTTCACTGACAGCATAATTTACATATTACCAGAGCTCAGTTATGTATTCAATCTGAAGGGAAATTGAACTAGAGATAGTCAAATAGCTAGCTTAGCTAATAACTAATTTTGATTTGACTAAGATTCGTCATGAAAAGTGTCTTAAATGTTTAAATACTTTATAATGTGGATAATTTAATACTCTTTTGAGCAGAATTTACTTTAAATAAAGAAGTAACACAACATGGTAGCCGAACACACTGTGGTTATGCGACCCTTACCATAGTTTAATCAAAGCATTTGTAGTAATACTGTGATTCTACACATGGTTATCAGTCTGCCTAAAAACAGTTACCACAAACTTCTGTTAAATCAAATCAAATCACTTTTGTTGTCACATCATCAGCAGCACGTGTACTATGATGAGTGAAAACCTTATGCTGGCTCCAGACAGTGCATAAATACAACATACTCCAATGAACAAAACAATGTACAATTAGCAATGCTGACAGTAATACATAAAAGACAACAGATGCCTGGAATGACAATGAATGCGCTAAGAAAAACACACATTACACACACGTAGGCACAGATAAACAAGTACACCGTCAAAAAATCTTTTTTCACATTCTTATTATGGGGTGTTGTGTGTAGAATTTTGAGGAAATAATTTAATTGAATCCATTTTGGAATAAGGCAAACACATAGTTTGACTGTAGAAAATTATTGTAGGCAATATTGTTTTGAGTAAGGATTTGGTTAAAGTGCAGTACAATCTACATCTTGATGGCATGCAGTGAGGGGTATGGAAAAAGTTTGTGTGAGGTGTAAGTGTTCATCAGACTACTCAATTTTTTAGGCTACTTTTTGAGCAGTATTTTTTACCGAAGGTTTTTTAGTCTGTTAAAACATTTTAAGCCATGAACAAAGACAACCAGAAAACTAGTCATTAGTAGATTTTTAATGTAAAGATACAATATATTTCAAGCTTATTCTAAATGATTCATATTCTAAATATTTAAGTATGTTGAGAATAATTCTCTGATTGGTGATGTGCAGTGCATTATTTATAGCGCTTCACTTTTCCCACAATTGTTTATGTTATAGCCTTATTCCAAAATGGATTCAATTAAATTATTTCCTCAAAATTCTACACACAACACCCCATAATAAGAATGTGAAAAAAGATTTTTTGAAATTGTTGCAAATTTATTAAAAACAAAAAACCTGAAAAATCACATGTAAATAAGTTTTCACAGCCTTTGCTCAAAACTTTGTTGATGCACCTTTGGCAGCAATTCCAACCACAAGTCTTTTTGAATAGGATGCCGCAAGCTTGGCACTTCTGTCTTTGGGAATTTTTGCCCATTCTTCTCTGTCAGGTTGCATGGGAAGCGATGGTGTACAGCAGGGGTCTCAAACTCAATTTACCTGGGGGCCGCAGGAGGCAAAGTCTGGGTGAGGCTGGGCCGCATAAGGGATTTCACAAAAAAAAAGTCCTCAAATGTCATTATTAACAGTTTTAATTATTTCTTCTGAACATGAAGTGTCCTGAGCATTAATAGAACATTTAGTGAAGATTATGAACAGTTCTTCTGAACATGGCATCTTTTGCCTACTCCTTGCTGCCAGAGACTTGACAGCGCTTCTTCTCACAAATCTGAACCACATTTGGCTTTAGAGCGGAAGCAGTTGAGACCCTCAGTATGGCTTGAAGATGATCATCATTAAGTCTAGACCTGTACTTTGACTTATTGAAGTTCAAGGTGAAGAATAACTTCTCACACAAATATGTGCTCCCAAAAAGGCCAAGTCCTAGGGAAAAAAGTGGGGGAACTCACTCAAAACTTCCATTCCCTCACCTAAAAAAAAGGCGTATATATGTATAAATAAAACACCCCCACCCCACTCCAGTCACATCAGTCTGTACCAGTCTGTATTTACCTATAATATATATAAGACAGGGCTCGAAATTAACTTTTTTACATGGTAGCACCGGTGCTCCAAACTTCAAATATTTAGGAGCACCAAAATAAATTTAGGAGCACCAGAAAAAATTTAGGAGCACCCACCAAAAATGATTGAGCACCGCTACAAATTGCTTTTTAAGGGATTTATTGTATTTTAAAACAACATCAATAGGACTGACAAAAACCAAAAACAACTATCTACCTAATGCTGCGAAGACATTGATATTTGTGTGCAATAATTCCAAAATGAATGTCTAATAATTAGGCTATAGAATATTAGTGATGATGAAAATGACAATAATAGTAAAAATGAATTACATTTCTCATTATGATACTGCCTTGAATGTGCATGAATGTAGGTTATCTGCTATAAAAAGTCTGTTACTTTATGAAAAATAATCGTATAGTTTGCATCAAACCAAACTGAAGCATTGCAGTAAGAAATATTGATTTTGTACTGCTGTTTTTATATGCATGTCAATTTAATAAATAATATTTCTGCTACAAAACAAACAGAAGATTATAATAAATCATTCAATTCAATGATGAAAGCTGCAAAGCAGTCATCAGTAAATAAATATAAAAATAATATACACCTCAAAAAAGAATAGACAAAAGAAAGAAAGTAAAGTCTCACTTCTATCACTCTTTAAAAGATTTGGTTTCAGTTTGTGTCAATTTAAAGGTTCAGTCTGAGATGATCTTCATTTTTTTGAGTCAGCCGACCCAATTTATGAGCAGGCAGCGCAAGATTCTTGCGGTGGGTGACCACCGGCGCAATACCGCTGTTTGTTATGAGCTGCAGTTTCAGTGTAAACTTAGTAAAGGCGAGCTTCTTTGGCGATGACACGTACAGTATTAGATTTGACTTTTAGCGGACATTTGCGCTGGACACGCAGTGAATGCAACGCATGGAGATTCGGGCGCTTTCTCCATGAAGCGCGTACTCGATTGATCTCAGCTGGCGGATCATTATTCACCACGTGACGTGTCATGATCGCTCTCATCTGCGCCTCAACTTTAGGTGGGGTTTGCAAACCTGTGTGCTTTAAGTTTTTACTCTTCTGCCGTTTGCATTTCCCGTGGTCATAAAAGCTCCTTCCCTGTCATCTGACAGCGGAATACCTTGAGTGATTGACAGTTAATATGAATCAATATAGCGGCAGGGAAGAGCGATTCAGCACGTTTTTAGAAAAAATCAAAACAGATCGCACTACAACCATTATCAGTAGTCGCACTAATAGATTAATTTTCGGCCGCATATGCGACCAAAATGGTCGCAATGTCGAGCCCTGTAAGATGCAGGCTGTAGCTAAGTGGCAGGCAGGGGCGGGAACAGCTTACCTTGGTTCTTCCCGCCCGTCACAGCGTCTAACAAAGGGGCGGGGTGCGTGGTGACATCACCGGCATCCCCGCTCCTTTGTTTACACGGCGGGCGGGGAATGCCAGTGACCGCTATGTACGGATAGAATCAGCGGTGAGCGCTCTTTCTCCCCGCTCCGCTGATTCTGTCAGTGTACAGCGGTCGGCGCGGGCCACAAAATATTGCACTGAGGGCCGCAAATGGCCCGCGGGCCGCGAGTTTGAGACCCCTGGTGTACAGCCATTTTCAGATCTCTCCAGAAATGTTCAATTGAATTTAGGTCTGGGCTCTGGCTGGGCCTCTCAAGGACATTCACTGAGTTGTTGTGAAGCCACTCCATTGATATTTTGATGGTGTGCTTTGGATCATTGTACTGGAAGATGAACCGTCGCCCCAGTCTGAGGTCAAGAGCTCTCTGAAGCAGGTTTTTATTCAGGATGTCTCTGTGTACATTGCTGCATTCATCTTTCCCTCCATCCTGACTAGTCTTCCAGTTCCTGCTGCTGTAAAACATCCCCACAGCATGATGCTGCCACCACCATGCTTTACTGTAGGGATGCTATTAGCCTGGTGATGAGTGGTGCCTGGTTTTCCCCAAACGTGATGTCTGGCATTCACTTCAAACAGTTCAATTTTAGTCTCATCACACCAAAGAATTTTGTTTCTTATGGTCTGAGAGTCCTTTAGATGCCTTTTGGCTAATTTCAGACGGGGATTGGCTTCTGTCTGGCCACTCTACCATACAGGGCTGATTGATGGATTGCTGCACAGAGGTTTGTCCCTCTGTAAGGTTTTCCTCTCTCCACAGAAGACCTCTGGAGCTCAGACCATCGGGTTATTGATCACTTCCCTGACTAAGGCCGTTCTCCCCCGATCACTCAGCTTAGATGGCCGGCCAGCTCTAGAAAGAGTCCTGGTGGTTCCAAACACCTTCCACTTATGGATGATGGAGGCCAGTGTGCTCATTGGAACTTTCATTGCAGCATAATTTTTCTGTAACCTTCCCCAGCCTTGTGCCATGAGACAATCCTGTCTTGGAGGTCTACAGACAATTCCTTTGTCTTCATGCTTGGTTTGTGCTTTGACATGCACTGTCAACCCTGGGAACTCGTATAGACCGGTGTATGCCTTTTTCAAATCATGTCCAATCAACTGAATTTATCACATGTAAACAACAATTAAGCTGCTGAAACATCTCAAGAATGATCTGTGGAAGCAAAATAGGTGTGTCCCAAATCGCATACTTATGCACTGTTTTACGCCATTTTGTAGTAAAAATAGTGTAAGTAGTGCGTTCACACTGAAACCCGGTAAAATGAAGTCTGTAATGATGGACACTTCATGCATTAAACGACCGCAGTTTTGCTCACCAGCGGAAAGGGCGGAGCTTTCGGGCGCACATGTTGGATTACTTTATTTATTTTGGATTGTATAAGCAAAATTCTCTCACAAGAGTAATTATAGCGCCTCCCGATGGTCAATGTGTTTAAACTCATGGCAAGTATTGTTAGGTATTTTGGTCATTTATTTAACAAATTTGGCAACCGTCAAATGTCATCAGGGAAATGGATTGAATTTCCGCTTAGCAAAAAAACATTAGTGTTCTATTTGGGATGACACTACATTAATATACTGTGCTGTTGAGTGTGTAAGCGCATAAGTGCGTAGTGCATAGTGTGCCATTTGGGACACAGCTAAAGTACCTGAGCTCAATTTAGAGCTTCAATACTCACAGAATTATTAACCCCCTTTCAAATTTATTTTTTTTTTTTAATATTTCCCAAATGATGTCTGATATTTTTTTTTTCTTCTGGGAAAAGTCTTGATTGTTAATTCAGTTAGAATAACAGCAGTTTTTAATAATAATAAAAAAAACTGGTCAAAATGATTAGCCCCTTTAAGATATATTTTTTTCAATAGTCTGCTAATCAAACCATTGTTATACAATAACTTGCCTAATTACCCTAACCTGCCTAGTTAACCTAATTAACCTAGTTAAGCCTTTAAATGTCACTTTAAGCTGTATAGAAGTGTCTTGAAAAATATCTGGTAAAAATTTTATTTACTATCATCATAGCAAAGATAAAATAAATCAGTTATTATTAGAGATGAGTTATAAAAACTATTATGTTTAGAATTGTGTTGAAAAAAAAAAAGTCTCTCCGTTAAACAGAAATTGGGGAAAAAAATAAACGGGGTCTAAAAATTCAGGGGTGCTTATAATTCTGACTTCAACTGTGTGTACATTTGATTTTTCAGGTTTTATATTTTTAATAAATTTGCAACAATTTATAAAAATTTCTTTTTTTTTTTAATTCTCAGTATGGGGTATTGTGTGTATAAATTTGAGGAAATAAATGAATTGAATCCATTTTGGAATAAGGCTGTAACATAAACAAATGTGGAAATTGTGAAGCGCTATGAATACTTTCCGGATACGCTGTATTTTTTGTACACCAGTGCAGTGAAGTTTTCTCTACACAAATTTTTTACAGTATCTGCAGGGTCATAAAAAGTCTTAAATATATTATATTATATTTAGGCCTTAAAAGTCTTCAATTCACTGAAATACTGTTATAGGTGTTAAATCATTTTAAAGAGGTCTTAATTTTCTTATTTCCAGTTTAAGCTACCCAATCTGGCCAACACCAATAATCCATCTCAAATCTTTTAAACCTAAACTACATTTAAGTAAATATTATTGCAAAGAGACACAATTCATATCAGCTGTTCCACATTTTTACTGCAAATTCTCCAAATTAAATTTTCTAATCAGGTAAAGAAAACTGAAGCCGCACATCCCTTTACATGATGTACGATAATGCAATAACTATTTAAAGAAGTAACAGGGGCATTAGAATTTTTTTAAATAATTTTTCTAAATAAAGTCTTAAATTTAATTCATAATGGTCTTAAAAGTGACTTAAAAAGTCTTACATTTGATTTGAAGAAACCCACAGAAACCCTGATTCTACTGTTAAATTTAATGTTAAATTACTGCTAATTGCAAATACAATTAATTAACAACTTTATTTAATGTTTTAAAACAAAACCTTATGGAGAAAACTAATGTTGTTTGTACTTCTGGAACCGAACTGTTGCTTTTTGTTGGAGGAAAGATTATCATGAAGAAAATGTTGCAATAATTGTTTATTATCTTTTTGTTGTTGTCATCTGTAGGTCCAATTTTGTCTACTTCTGTTAACAAAATGACAAGTACAGCAAACTACCTTTGGTCCCAGGAGGATATTCTTGGTCAGGGGGCGACAGCAAACGTCTATAAAGCACGAAACAAAGTACTCTATCTGTTTTTAAAATCTACAGCACGCAGACTTGACATTTTTTGCTCAATGATAATTTGTATTCCTTTAGAAAACTGGAGAACTGGTTGCTGTGAAGGTGTTCAACCTGGTGAGCTACAACAGGCCGTACGAAGTTCAGATGAGGGAGTTTGAGGTGCTGCAGCTGCTCAATCACGTCAATATTGTTAAACTCTTCGCTGTGGAGGAGGTATGTATCTGATGTGGTTTGTGATGCTCTTGAAGATTTTCCTGCCACAGTTCTGCTGACTTTACAGATAATGCTTTGATGTTTAAGATATGTATGATGCAGCGTATGCATCAGGGTCATTTATGGCCAGATTTGTTTGTGCTGTACACACCAGCGGTATTTAACACTGCAAAGTGACAAAGACCTACAGTTCAAAACAAGGAGGCAACCATACATATAAAATGTTTTATAAATAACATCAACGTATAACATAATGTATTTATATTAACTGTGTTGGGTAAGTTACTTAAAGTTCTAGATTAATTTGATTACATTACTAATTACTTCATGTAACAAGTAATCAGATTACTAATTACTTTACTTTGAAGTTACTTTTAAAAACTTATAGAAATTAGAAAAATAAACTGCAGCTCTTTCAGAAATTTAATATTCACTGAAAAACATTACAATTGGTTTAACCCAGCATTTTGACATTCAAAATATTTAAAGAGATAGCTTACGTTTAACTTAAAATTCTCTCATCATTTACCTAATAAATGTTTTAACATTGTTTATTGGGTTTTTCCCAAGTTAAATACAAAGTACAACAAATTACAGAATAACTGCCCTACACATGCCTCAAACCTCCAACCCGTAGTGTCACAAATTATCCATAATTAAAGTTAAACATACAAATCTTGCCTCTTTTTTTTTTTTAACGAAACGCAATTCTTCTAAAGGCATATGAGATGACACTGCTTTAATCCACATTGAAGTAGAAGGTGGTTTAGAATCCTTCCTTCTCAAAGTTAGACATTTTATAGCTGCTAGTAACTCCAGTCAGTCAAATCTCACATTTGTGGTTGCGCAGTGGGTAGCGATGTGCCTCACAGTAAGAATGTCGTTGGTTCGGGGTAGTTGGCAATTCTGTGTGGAGTTTGCTTTTTCTCCCCGTCTTCACATGAACAAGTTAAAAGACATGCACTTTAGGTGAATTGGGTAAACTGAATTGTCCATAGTGTATGTGTTAATGTGTGTGTGTATGGATGTTTCCGAATGATGGGTTGCTGCAGGAAGGACATCCGCTGTGTAAAACATATGCTGGATAAGTTGGCGGTTCATTCCGTTGTGGCGAGCCCTGAATAATAAAAGGACTGAGCCCAAAAGAAAATAAATGAATGAATGATTAAGTAGTGTAGTATCTCCTAAGAGGGTCAGTCTAGGCTCTCTAGGCACATTAGTACTTTGGCAATAACCTCTAAGACCCAATATTCTTCTAATGGCAAGATCACAGCATAAATTTAGGAGAGTCCCTGTATCTGCTTTACATCTAAGATAATTTTTTTTAAGAAAACTTGACGTCTGTAACCATTGACATTCATAATAGGAAAAACACATACCATGTCTGCAATTGTGGAGACAAACTGTAAACGCTTTAAATGTTGAATACATGAAATCTTGAGTATGTGAATGCATCGTGTTTGTGTCACATGATGCGTGCCTCTATTGCAGGGGTGTCCAAAAACGGTCCTGAAGGGCCGGTGTCCTGCTGAGTTTAGTTCCAACCTGCTTCACCACACCTGCCTGGAAGTTTCTTGTATACCTAGTAAGAGCTTGATTAGGTGGTTTAGGTGTGTTTGATTAGGGTTGGAGCTAAACTCTCCAGGACACCGGCCTTCCAGGATCAAGTATGGACACCCCTGCTCTGTTGAAAATAACGAATTTGCACACGCAAAAGACGCGATGTGTAAACGGCCCCATAAGTAGCTACTCTTCTCTTTACATTTAGGCTACGTTCACACTGCAGGAAAATGTGGCACGAATCAGATTTGTCCCCCCTCATGTGACACAGGTGATCATAGTGTGAACAGCCCAAATGGAATCTGATCTTTTTAGGTCAGATCTGTGCCACTTTCATATGTGGTCTGACAATCAGACACAGATCTGATGTTTTGCAATGCGACCGCAGTATGAACGGTTATGCCGGATTTCATGTGACTTTTACGTCATCTTTGAGTCACATGCGTCATCATTCTGTGCTACAAACATCCTCTACTCCTCAGCAGCACAGTAGAATGGCACACAGGGCGATTACAGTACCACAGATAGTTGGTTGTTCATGTTGAAAAAGAATTTGAAGAAATAACTGGTGTTTGTTAACTAATCTGGTTAACGATTGAGGCACGGGTTGATCGCGAAGCCGAAAATCGTCGTGGGTGTTGCAGATGGAGGATCTGTGTGCAAATGAGGAGAACTTTCTTTCTGAGAGAAAAAAAGGCAGGTGCTCGAGCACCCAAACCCCCCTTCTGCACGTGTCTGCTGTTTATAATGAAGTAAAATTAAATAACTCCACAAACGGAGATAAACCAACTCCGCCTTCACAGCTCAGTCTGCGGCTGCTTATTAACCCTTGATGCGTTCACTACACCGCCGGTGGTCAGAGCGCCATGCACCACGGTTGCCATAAATCACAAATGATCAGTGTTTTTTTTTTTTTTTTTCTTATCACAGGAGAGTTATTTTAGATCTCAAATGCTGAAATACACATTAGTAGTAGCAGAACAATCATTTACAGTTCATGAAATACACCACGGTTGTCTGTAGGGTTGGGTATCGTTTTTTTTTTTTTCGATACCGGTGCCAAATCGATACTTTTAAATCGGTACCGGTGCCAAAACGATGCCTGAATCGATACTTTTTAGCCACAAAATGATGGTGGATACCTCTAAAAAAATATTTATTTTGACAAAATATTTTAAAAAATCATTTTAATAGAACAATATAATTACAGTTTAAAGTAAACATCAATTCATATTGTATTACATTAATACATTTCCTTTTATCATTTGTTGGTTAGCATGATTTTAAGATTTGCATTATGAAATTACATTAGCTTACTATTAACCTGTGGGGGGCGGGCAGGGCCACGTACATTTAAGAGCACATTTTAACATATATATCACAAAATACTTAAAACATTATTCGAAGTCATTTGTTTTCATGCATCACTTTGCAGTCTTCATAAATGATAATTAAATAACTTAAACTCAAAATAATCTTCCTTGTTCATTTATTTGACAAGTAACGTTGTACTGATGTAGGAGAACACATTTCTAACATCCAAGTACATCAAGGCACATTGTTGAACCTGTAAACTTAAACAGATAGGCCTACAGTTGAAGTCAATTTATTTTGCCCTCCCATTCATTTAAAATAATGTTTCTGAAAACTTTTACAGCGTTTCCTAAAAAATAATTATTCTGGAGTCATAATAAGTCTTATTTCTTATTGTTTATTTCGTGAACGAAAGCCGTTTTGCATTTAAATAATAAGGTCAGTATTATTAGTCCCCTTAAGAAATATTTACAGTATATTTTTGATATACACAAATCAGTTACAAAATCATTTGACTAATTATTTTAACTTTCGTAACTAACTGATTAGGTCTAAACTACACTTTAATCTGAATAAAACAGGGTCCCCGCGGGTCCTTAAAAAGTCTTAAAATGTCTTAAATAAAATTTTCGATTTTTAAGGTCTGAAAATGTCTTAAATTCTGTAATTTTCCATAAGGAGGTCTTAAATTTCATGTGGGATCTTAAATATCATGTCCGACTCGTCTTATGGCGGCAAATCAATGCCAATATAAATCGAGTGCAGCGGTGATGTTTGCGCGTGAGGAGAAGTGAACCGTGAGCAGATTACAGGTCTACACGCGAGAAAATTACAGCTCGCGAGCGCACAGGGGATCTTCACGCGCGCGCTCAACTGATCCAGCGCGAGAAAACAAGTCCCGCGCGTGCACATTATCATCTGTGCGCACGATGAGCGAGGTCATGCCTACAGCGCGCGCGCGATCAGTTCTCTCCGCTCGCTCGCTGGTTCTTCTCTCTGCTCGCGAAACAGTTTAGATTTTTGTGAGTCCTAGGGCGGGACTTGGTTTTCTTGTTATCTCTAACGCTATTGGCTACTCATTGGCTACTCTACCTTTCCAGAAGTTAGCCGGGATTGGACGCAGGTAAGCTAGTTTCCCCGTTAAATAAAATTATATAGGAAATCTTATCATAATGTCACAGTGTGAAACATAGACTTACTTTCTCAGTAATAATAGGTGGAGACTTACTTTCAATAATGAGATATTTTTTGTAATAATTAATCTCATAATAATGCCTATTCTTACCATCATGACCAAGTCATATAATGACATATCAAAATAATGAGATATATTTCTGTAACAAACTTTATTACTTGGGAGAGAAAGAGAGAGTTATACCATGTGGCAAAAGATCTCTCCATTAAACAGAAATTGGGGAAAATATACATGGGCTATTAAATCAGGACGAATAATTCAGACTTTAAATGTGTTTTGAACCATTTGATGAAGTTTAGCACCTACATTTAAACTGAACTCAAACTAAACGTGTTCAAATTTACAAAAATCTTTTTTTTTTCTAAGATTCATTGTCCTTGACTCATTTTCTGTGAAGAACAAGTCAGAATAAATTGGATGGACAATAGTATACAAAATAGGCTATACATGCATGCAGTGCATAAAGTACAAAGGTTTATAGTAAATATATTGCCATTAGTCTGTTATTCCACTATACAGTTAAAGTCAGAATTATTAGCCCGCCTGAATTAATAGCCCCCTGTTTATTTTTATCCTAATTTTTATTTAACGGAGAGAAGATTTTTTTCAACACATTTCTAAACATTATAGTTTTAATAACTCATTTCTAATAACTGATTTATTTTATCTTTGCCATGATGACAGTAAATAATATTAGACTAGATATTCTTCAAGACACTTCTATACAGCTTAAAGTGACATTTAAAGGCTTAACTAGGTTAACTAGGCAGGGTAATTGGGCAAGTTATTGTATAACGATGGTTTGTTCTGTAGACTTTCGAAAAAAATAAATAGGTTAAAGAGGGTAATAATATGGACCTTAAAATGGGTTTTAAAAAATTAAAACAGCTTTTATTCTTGCCGAAATAAAACAAGAAAAAAGTGGGCTACT